TATTTAATATTTATCGCCGCTTCTATTAATATGAAGTGCAATGTCAACGTGTAATAATGTACAATTATTTAAAGTTTCCATGCCTAATGTATCATGCCGGTATAAAAGAACGTCAAGTAGCATGCGTAGCCGAGCAACTAAGATGACGAGCTGAAATCGTGGACATTTCAAGTTCAAACCCCTGCCTTTTTCAGATTTTTTTTTCACTTTTTTCAAATAAGTTATTATGTGTATAAATGTGTAATAATCAATATATCATTATTTGATAATTTTTTTTGTAATGGAACAAAATAAATTATTTTTTAATTCTGCAAGGAATTTAATTATTAATGCAAACGCCCACACACATAATTTAGATATTCAATTTTTTTTAGTTCAAATGTTTCTTGCAATCTGTATACGACAATCAGTCCACTCGCTGTGCCACAGATTGCATCGCATAATACGCTCAGAGTTATAATACGATAGAGATCGCTTTACGCTGTTTTTCCTTGAAATAAATAAATTTTACGTGTTGTGTACGCGTGTTTAGTATATTTGTTTCTTTCATATTAATTTTAACTATAATTAGTTTTTTAATTAAGATTATTTTAGTGTTAGTTGTTTATTTGTTAGTGTCCTGTTTTCTTTAATTTCGCATTTTTTAATTTTCTTTTTTTTTTGGTGTTGGTGCTAATTATTATTTTTATTTTACAATGTCGAGTAAACACCGGTTTTACGATAAATGTGTGTATTTAAATTGCACAAATATTAGGACAAAAGATGGAAAACGTTTATTTCGATTTCCATTACAAACGGGTGCGAGACATGATTTATGGTTACGCAATAGTGGTGAGTTTATAAAATTGATTTACTTATTTATATCAATATATAATATATATTGATATGATATATGAAACAAATATATATATATATTCTTTGTTTTTTTTAATAAAATATGTCAGATATTATGTATGTTTACGTATGGATTACGTTGAAGTGTTTCTTTGCCGCGTTTTTCTGATCTCGCCGAACGGTTCGCGAATCCTGTGCGAATAAAAAACGATGCGCGTGTGTGTGTGCGTGCGATTGTGATGATCAGTTTCAGTTCGTCTTCAACGCTTGACGAGAGAAGAGGTCCCGAACTGCTGTAAGTTTATAAAAACATATTTTTGTATAACACATTAGAACGATTTTATATTATTTTTTTTGTCTAGAAAACGTTATATTAATAACCGTTATGAAAACGATCTCGACGACGGTCGTCACCGGCATCGTCGCCATCATTTATAGTGGTCACCGTCATCATTTATAGTGGTAGATATAAATCAAAAAATAGGATGCGTGGTTTGTTGCATAATATCAAGACTGAAATTCTTAACATAGAGATATTTGATTTATATAGAACTTTAAACTCACTTAATAAAAAACGGTCAAGACAATTCCAAATTCTCCAAAACCTTTTACCATCTTATATCTGGCAGGAGATTTTAAATCACCATTGTAACTCCTTTTCTTTGTTCAACCAAAAATTATATCTCATACATAAGAAAAAATTCCTATGGCTACGTAAATCGCATGAAACAGAGTACATTAAAAATATTGATCCTATCGAATTAAAAACAACATCTTCGACAAATATTGTTGATAACACTGTTTCTGCCAACAGTTTTCGTTATGCTACACATAACCCTTTACAACAAACTAACCAGAAATGGTTTATTAATTTAACTGATAAAAAAATTCCCCCCAATGTAACCAATCTATTACAATTGGGAGGTGAATTTAGTCTCCCAGTTAACTTAAATAAAAAAGTAGCTATACACGAATTCATCAAAGATATAGAAAGCAATTCTAACGGGATCAGAAATCTCACTTCGATTCGTAATGCTGCCATTCCACAATTTTCATTATTTTTAAACAATAACGACAAAAAAACGGACATACAAGAAAAATTATTTCACATGCATAAAGACACAATTAAATTCTGCAATCAAAATCCTAATATTTTATTTACCAGAACAGATAAAGGCAGCATTACAGTCGCACTAGAAAAAGAATTTTATATAAAAAAAGTTGAGAGTCTCCTAGAAGACGATTCTACGTATACCATAGTTAAAAACAATCCAACAACAAAAATAGAAAAAGACCTCAATATTTGTTTAAAAAAATGGTTGAAAAAAGACTTCATCAACAAAAAAGAATATTATTATTTATTTTCAAGCGACTCTCTTCTTCCTAAAGCTTATGGGCTCCCCAAGATCCACAAGGAAAATATTCCTTTTAGATTAATAGTTTCCTCAATAAATACTTCTCTATATAATATTGCTTCTTTCTTTCATAAAATTTTAAAAGATAGCCTTCCTAGAGCGAACAGTTTTGTAAATAACAGTTTTGATATATGCAACATTCTATCAGGGAAAACAATACAAGATACCGACATAATAGCTTCATTGGACGTTGTTTCATTATTTACTAATGTTTCCGTAGATCTTGCATTAAACGGCATCAACAATAGATGGCATTTTATAGAGTCACACACAAAGATTCCCAAAAATGAATTCATAGGTATGATAAAATTTATATTAACTTCTACATTTTTCACTTTTAATAACATAACTTACAAACAAATTTATGGGACTCCTATGGGTTCCCCACTTTCTCCGATCATTGCCGATATAGTCATGCAGGACTTGGAAACATTGGTAATTAGTAATTTAAATTGCGAAATGACTTTCTATTTCCGTTATGTAGACGACATTATTTTATGCACTTCCGCTGACAATATTACATATGTTTTGAACGAATTCAACAATTATAACGATAGACTACAATTTACATTGGAAAAGGAGGATAATCGTTGTATAAGCTTTTTAGACATAATGATCAAAGTAATAGATAACAAAATTTATTTAGATTGGTATCACAAAAAGACATTCTCAGGTAGATTACTTTCATTTTTTTCAAATCATCCGACTTGTCATAAAATAGGAACAATTTATAACTTGGTAGATAGAGCTTTATTACTATCACATCCGCAATTTCACAAAAAAAATATAGAGAAAGCTATTAACATTTTGCTATCCAACGGTTATCCTCTTGATCTAATTTTCACAGAAATAAAACGCAGATTAAAAAATCTCTCAACTAAGAAATTTAACAAGCCTAATAATAACAATATAACAGATACTAATAATACTAATACTAACATTAAATATTTTGTCATACCATATATAGAATCAATATCTGAGAAAGTTGCTTCAGCAATAAGAAGACCTGACGTAGTGGTAGGATATCGTTGCATTAAAAAATTAAATGACTTCATAAGAGTTCAAAAGGACAAAAATAATTGCCCCACGAATTCTAACGTTATTTACAAATTGAATTGCAACGATTGTGACGCCACATATGTCGGACAGACAAAAAGACAGTTAGGAACGAGACTTAAAGAACATAAAAATAATATTAAATTAGACTCTGCTAGACATTCGGTTATCACGGAACACATTCTAAACGAACAACATACATTTGACTGGGACAATATTAAAATTATGGATCATGAAAAGAATTACCAAAAAAGACTAATATCTGAAATGATCCACATTAAAGAACAGAAAAATGGAATTAATTTAAATACAGACACCGAATTGTTAGACAGTAGTTATTTTGACATACTTAAAAAATTTGCTGAATCATAATTTAGAAAAAACATTGGTAATAAATAAATACATCACGCTCTCTATTTTGACATTTGGTATTCAGACTTCGCAACACACACTTGAAATATCGGGGAAAAGGACTTGTTAAAACGATAATGTAAGTTGAAAGATTTTTTAATATTTTCTGACATTGATTTAATTCGCGTATTATATCCGTAGCATGCTCAAATGTCGCATAACTTGGCATCTCAGACCAATCGCCTTGCATATCTATTGGTCAACAGCGAAGAATCGTTTCAATTTTATATTTTAATATTTAACTAACTTTGTATTTTTAACATCTAACTTTATATTTTAATATTTAATTTTTATGTATTGATAAAGACTGTAGTGCAGTCGAAACGTTTACAATTTATATCGATTCTGTAACGGAATGTTAATTTAATGATTTAACTATTAATAAAAAAATTTTTACATCTTATTTATTTGCTCGTTTAGTTGGCCTACTATATATGATTGTTTAATTTTGTTTAATTTATACGAGCCTTTCATTAATTAATGATATATTGATTATTACACATTTATACACATAATAACTTATTTGAAAAAAGTGAAAAAAAAATCTGAAAAAGGCAGGGGTTTGAACTTGAAATGTCCACGATTTCAGCTCGTCATCTTAGTTGCTCGGCTACGCATGCTACTTGACGTTCTTTTATACCGGCATGATACATTAGGCATGGAAACTTTAAATAATTGTACATTATTACACGTTGACATTGCACTTCATATTAATAGAAGCGGCGATAAATATTAAATATAATATAATATATATTAAAAATTACATTCCAAAATCCAGGTGGTCGAACAATTAATCGTTCTTTTTATTTTAATTAAAATAAGATTTATATATTTCATTACACATATACATATATATATATATTTTAATAATTATATTTTAGTTTTTATACAAATTATATAAATATATATATATATATATAAATAAAGAGAAAAGATCGCACATATACAGAATGAATACGTGATACTGTGTTAACACGAAAATTATGGGCGTAGCACGGACTCGCACCAAATACAAACTTTATCGACCCTGCCAGAAAATGGGTGTGCAGTTAGTTCCGATATTAAAAACGGGTGCGAGGGGCGCTTCAAGCAGTCCCGTAAAAACGGTAACAGCCAAAACGCCGGCCTGGCCGCTCTCATCTTTCTCTCTGGTACAATACTGTCTTTTATCTCAAATCTAAATCGTACGAAGTGTTAATAAAAGTAATAATTTTATTGTATGCATACAGTATTCTAGATTTTTCTTGCGCGTTACTAAAGACAAAAACTCTCAGAACATAAAACATTGTCTTAAAATTATAAGTCAACTATTCAGACTCTTACTTATGATATGTGACTTTGTGAGCTTTTTTGATCCTCTTGCCTCTACGACGTCGTGTGAATTTTGAAAATTTGCAGATTTTGATATCTCGCCAAAGCTGTTTGGAATCGGTGGCAGGTCTGATAATATGTTTCGACCTGAAAATTCAAAGTTAATTTTCGATTGATGTTTTGTTGTCAGTTGTATACAGGGTAGGCCATTTTAATCTTTCCACTAAAATTTCTCAAAATCCAAAAATTTAAGACAAAAATGTTTCAGATAAAAGTTGTATAGTTTCAAGGGGGACATGAGATGGTGTCATTGATTTGACCTTGAATAGCCATTTAAAGGTTACGTGAAGGTCAACTTCAATTTCTTAAATGGAACACTATATTTTTTCTTGCATACTTTTGTAGCTGACTTCGAGATCTTTCCAAAACACTACAATAAAATATTTTTTCATGAAGTATTTTTCGAGTTATTAAGGCTGCAAATTTGCAGTATTTTGACATAAAATACAAAATATCTTGGGAAATATTCATTTTTCGATTATCATACCTTAATACTTTTATGCACAGAATAATGAGATAAATCAGTTGATGTAAAGAAAACACATAGTTACCTTTAAAAAAAAAATATGAAAATTGCAATAAGCAGTTAGATAATTTTTCTTTAAGACAACTATGTGTTTTCTTTACACCAATTGATTCGTCTCATTATTCTGTGCATAAAAGTATTAAGGTATGATAATCGAAAAATGAATATTTCCCAAGATATTTTGTATTTTATGTCAAAATACTGCAAATTTGCAGCCTTAATAACTCGAAAAATACTTCATGAAAAAATATTTTATTGTAGTGTTTTGGAAAGATCTCGAAGTCAGCTACAAAAGTATGCAAGAAAAAATATAGTGTTCCATTTAAGAAATTGAAGTTGACCTTTACGTAACCTTCAAATGGCTATTCAAGGTCAAATCAATGACACCATCTCATGTCCCCCTTGAAACCATACAACTTTTATCTGAAACATTTTTGTCTTAAATTTTTGGATTTTGAGAAATTTTAGTGGAAAGATTAAAATGGCCTACCCTGTATACAATATCCGTTGATGTGTAGTAAAAAAGCCTGTTTACAGACATGATGTAAATCTATTATTGAGATTTCCGCACAAGGATTTTTAAACAGCTTTATCTTAATAGCTCAAGATGGAATGCACAAGAGATATGAGGATTTGAAATTCATAGGGATTTTAAGTTTAATCTAATAACTGTAAGTATAAAGTACAAATTACGAAATAGATTTAAACAGGAAAAAATATACTATATAGATTCTCCTAATGGTATTAAAAAAATAAATGACGAAGCATCACAATCTTTAAAAAATTTGTTAAATCAGATTATAAAATAGCTACAATAACTTACGCAGGTCTCGTGGCTTTTTTATCCACTTCGAAGTTTTAGATTGATTTTCATTTTCGACATCATCGGATGAGGAGCTCGATATTCGTCTATTTGGTATGACTCTTCTGTACCCTTTTCCGAGTTGGTCATCATCAGTAGTTATATAATTTGCATCCTCCGCGACCTTTCGAGCCTTTTCAAGAGACGCTGAAATAAAATATTTATTTTAAATAGAAACTAAAAATGTCACAGATGTTCCTTTATTCTATAATAAAGAAATATGCTTACTGCAATATTTTTCGATGGTCACAGGCAAATTATCCCACGACTTTTTATCTGGTTCAGATTTTTTTGCTATTAGCGTACTAATGTTTTTATAATTTGTTGGCCACCAACATGATGGTTCATCGTCATTTGTTTCAAGCCAATTGGATGGTACTTCGGAAACTTCATTGTTATTGAATGTTACGACTGCATATGCCATGTCTATCCAATCGTAAGTGAAAATGAAGTAATTTCAAATAGAACAAGAGGAAATGAGATTGCAGGAAAGGATTTAAAAAATACGAGGAACAATCTTTTTTATTCGATTGAATTTTAGATAATTAATAATTATATTGCAATACAGGAATCACTACACTTGAAGTGGTTTCCTCAGGATTTTGCAATTTTAAACACTTTCTCTGTATTTGTGATGCTAATAACGTAATCCGTTCAGATATAAATCTTTCGTTAACCAGAGAGATGCCAAATTTTTGAGAATCGCACGGTACTGAAAAAAACGACCTCGTGTTGCTATAATGATTTCCTTTTATGTAAAGAACATTATAGTTGCTAAAAATTTTTGTTACGATAAAAATCGAATCATCATTCAATTGACAACAGTTCTCATAATACTCTGTTGAGATGAAAAATCCATCGAATTCGAGAAATTTGATCTTTATTGCAGACTTCGAATAGTGTACAACTGGATACGATTTGCGGTATTGAGTTTGAATAGGTACAGCATTTTCTTCTGTTATACGATTAACAATTTGATGTAAAGGTTTTTGCGAATTCTTAACCTGTTTCTTTATTGCCTGCAAACAGTTTTCGAATTTAAACGCACTGAATTGATCTAAGCAGCCAAATCGGGTTACATTAGAAGCAAGGTGCACGAGATTATATGTACATTATGCGTAATGTGTTCCGAACCATACAATTCTCCATAATGCGAAACAAACCAACATAATAAAGATTGAGCATAATCATTCATAACTAAACACAGTTTACGATCAGCTAAAATACGGATTGCTAAGCTGAATGAAAGGAAATGATTATACAAATCTTTCCGTAAAACTAATTTCAAAACCACCCCAGTCAGAAATCCCAGCAAACACAGTATATAAATGTTATATACTTAAGCATGTTACATGTAATGTATATGTTAGTTGTAATTTCCCACTCATAGATGTAACATTTTTAATATTACATATATTACATTGTAGTTATATTGTCATTATATCCCAAGATAGCACTGACTTATTAATACATCAATGTGCTATTTGGTATATAATTACAATATAACTACAATGTAATATATGTTATATTAAAATGTTACATCTATGAGTGGGAAATTACAACTAACATGGATGTTACATGTAACGTACACGTTATATTACCTGTTATATTCCGTTTTATTATGGCAATGTAACAATTATATATCGGTGTTTGCTGGGATGTAACCTTGATTCAAGGTTGATTCAACGTCGATATGGTTGACAGCTAGTTGAGTCGATAAGAAAGTTGATATTACTGCAATATCAATCATCCAATCAGATGAAGTGCAACGTTGATTCAACGTTGATCTCTTTAACCGAAGTCTAAGGGTGCGATTACATGGACGCGCGGAAACGCGGAAACGCGGAAACGCGGAAGAGAAAGTAACTAAACTTTACTAGAGTCCCGCATTTCCGCGCGTTCCGTTTCGTCTGTTTTGATTGCCTTATATTACATGGAGCACATTTTGAGCGGAAAAGCGGAACGGGGAATTATAAAATATTAATATTTAACTATATTTATTGATTAAAATGCTTGTATTCAATAGATAAGTTGAAAAGATGAACATATTAAAAGGAATTACAATGAATTAAGTAAATATAAATTTAAAAAATTAATACAAATGTCTATTTGTCACTATACCGTTCCGCTTTTCCGCTCAAAATGTGCTCCATGTAATATAAGGCAATCAAAACAGACGGAACGGAACGCGCGGAAATGCGGGACTCTAGTAAAGTTTAGTTACTTTCTCTTCCGCGTTTCCGCGCGTTCATGTAATCGCACCCTTAGACTTCGGTTAAAGAGATCAACGTTGAATCAACGTTGCACTTCATCTGATTGGATGATTGATATTGCAGTAATATCAACTTTCTTATCGACTCAACTAGCTGTCAACCATATCGACGTTGAATCAACCTTGAATCAAGGTTACATCCCAGCAAACACCGATATATAATTGTTACATTGCCATAATAAAACGGAATATAACAGGTAATATAACGTGTACGTTACATGTAACATCCATGTTAGTTGTAATTTCCCACTCATAGATGTAACATTTTAATATAATATATATTACATTGTAGTTATATTGTAATTATATACCAAATAGCACATTGGTGTATTGATAAGTCAGTGTTATCTTGGGATATAATGACAATATAACTACAATGTAATATATGTAATATTAAAAATGTTATATCTATGAATAGGAAATTACAACTAACATATACGTTACATGTAACATGCTTAAGTATATAACATTTATATACTGTGTTTGCTGGGTACGTTTAGAGTGTTCAATTTATCATGCGCAAAGTTCGAGGCTCCGGAATATCTTGAAAAATATAAGTTTTATAAAAAAATGCTTTAGGTAGAAATTGTAGTTTGAAAACACTTCTTTACTGATTTTGTTTGGACTTTGAATGATATTGCCAACGACAGGTAAAATAATCTTGAATTTTTTAAATAGAACCACAGTATATTTTAATATATTTTTTAAATCGATTCCTCATAATATTCTGCATAAAACATTAAAAGAATTAGAATGATCAAGAAGTGCATATAGTTAACAAGATATTTTATTCTTCAATTCGATATCAACTTTATATACATTCGGAAATATCGAGTAAAACATTCATTTTCTGATGATCTAACATCAATAATTTTATGTATAACACGAGAGAAATTAACTGCTGTAAAACAGATAACGTACATAATTGTTTTTCAGATAAAATGGAGTTATTATTATACATAATTATATATATGTATCATTATGTTCATGTATAAACATATATCAATTTAATGATATATAATGAATTGTAAAACTGCTTCTTATGTTTTTATTTAAATTTGCATATCCCAGAGAGAAATTATAGATAAATTAACGTCGATTCGACGTCAAATCAATGTCGAATTGGTTGAATCAATTTCGATTTGACGTCGAATAATGGAAACTTCAATCCTCATTTCAGTAAGTTAAAAGTGTGTACTTACAGTGCTGAGAATTAAATCTGAATTGAGCTCGTCGTTCCTTCTAGATCGAATTATTCTTTCCACGGGTTTGTTTGGCAAGATGGTCGCCCCAGCAAGACAACCGTAAAACGACAATAAACACATAAATCCTATCAATTTTATTTCATCCATAATTAGCAATAATAAACAGTGAAAGAAAACGGACAACTCGAGAGTTTTCTGGAGTATTGGGATATGTATTATCGAAAAGAACAGAAAACAAGCGAGCGAAATGAATAAAGACTGAGTGGATTAACATCCTGTCAACTATTTAATAATGTTGCATCGATGACTTGTGATATTATAATAAAAGAATAAAATACATTACAGATTGATGGAAAGAGCAAAGGCGACGCATTACGTTATTGACCATGTCAGTGGATTCAATAGTTTGACGACGTCAGTAGATTTTTTCATTATTATCCCAGCAAACACCGATATATAATTGTTACATTGCTATAATAAAACAGAATATAACAGGTAATATAACGTGTACGTTACATGTAACATCCATGTTAGTTGTAATTTTCCACTCATAGATGTAACATTTTAATATAACATATATTATATTGTAATTATATATCAAATAGCACATTGATCCCAGCAAACACAAAGTAACAATTATATAACATCAATGTTACAATTTCCTACTCAACAATATAACTGCAATATAACATGACTTGTACGTAACAGTTATATTATTGAGTGGGAAATTGTAACATTGATGTTATGTAATTGTTACTTTGTGTTTGCTGGGATGGATTGATAAGTGTCCCGGGAGGGTCCAAATCTTAGCCAGGAACAGTACGGCTTCCGGGTCGGACGGTCCACGATAGATGCAATTCTTCGGGTCCGTTCGATTTCGGAGGCCGTCACGGAGGAAGGCGGGGTGTTGCTTGCCGTATCGTTGGATATATCCAACGCATTCAACACCCTGCCATGGCACCGGATTGGGGCGGCCCTGGAGTATCACCGGGTCCCCCCATATCTGGTGTCAATCTTGGCGGATTACTTCCGGGATAGGCGATTGGCCTATACTGATAGGAACGCCGAAGAACAAAAGCGTCATATGACATGCGGGGTTCCGCAGGGGTCAGTACTTGGCCCCCTGCTGTGGAACCTCGCATATGACGCTGTTCTTCGGCAAGCCCTCCCCTCCGGCTGTCACACGGTGTGTTACGCTGATGACACGCTGGTGATGGCCGGAGGAGTCTCGTGGGAAGACGCAGCCGCTCGAGCAAACATGGCGGTGCATCGCGTTGTGCGGCTCATTAAGCAGATGGGGCTCAAAGTGGCGCCCCAAAAAACTGAGGCCATCTTTTACATGATGGCTCTCACGGGGCGCCACCAAGAGCCCACATCAGTGTGGAAGACATCTTGATAGAGGTGGGGGCCTGCCTGAAATACCTGGGCCTCCACCTCGATAGCAAGTGGACCTTTCGGGAACACTTCCGCCGTATATCCCCCAAGGTGGAGAAAACAGCAATGGCGCTACAACGCCTGCTACCCAACCTTGGGGGACCTGGCGGGAGTGTCCGAAGACTGTACGCCGGAACAATCCACGCCATGCTCCTGTACGGAGCCCCGGTGTGGGTGAAACGTCTGGAGGCCACCCGCGGCCCAAGAGACGCCGTAAGGCAAGTCCAAAGGCGGGTGGCTAACAGAATATGCCGGGGCTACCGGACAGTGAGCTGGGTGGCCGTGGGGGTACTCTCCGGAGTGCCCCCAGTGGAGATGCTCGCCCGCATGTACGCGGACGTATATACGCGTACGCGTGAATATCAGCGGGCGGGCATCATAATAACGGACGGAGTCCGGCGTACGGTGAGGGTCCACTCTCGACGGGCGCTGATCCAGAGATGGAAGGACAGCCTCGAAGATCCGAGGCTGCCAGGACAGCGCACCGTCGGGGCTATACGACCCTGTCTAGAGAATTGGCTAGACAGGGTCAAAGGAGGGGTGTCTTTTCACACAACGCAGGTGCTCACCGGACATGGTTGTTTCGGTGAGTACCTGCACAGGATTGGAAAAGAGCGCACAACGCGATGCTGTCACTGTGGCCACGAGCGAGACACCGCCCAGCACACACTCGAAGAGTGTGCTGCCTGGGCGGGCGAGAGAGAGG